TGGTGGAGAATCAGGAAGGGGAGAAGGGAGAAGCTGGTGGAGGAGGAGGGGGAGAAGGGGGAAGAAGGGAGAAGGTGGTGGAGGGGGAGAAGCTGGTGGAGAAGGAGGAAGGGAGAAGCTGGTGGAGAAGGAGGAAGGGGAGAATGATGGGGAGAAGGGAGCTAGTGGAGGAGGAGGGGGAGAAGGGAAAAGGGGAGAAGGAGGGGGAGAAGGAAGCTGGTGGAGGAGGAGAACGGAGAAGGTGGTGGAGAAGCTGGTGGAAGAGGAAGGGGAGAAGGGAAAAGGTGGTGGAGGGAAGAAGCTGGTGGAGAAAGAGGAAGGGGAGGAGGGGGAGAAGAGAGCAGGTGGAGGAGGAGGGGGAGAAGGTAGAAGGTTGTGGAGGAGGGAGAGAAGCTGGTGGAGAAGGAGGAAGGGGAGAAGGGAGAAGGTGGTGGAGAAGGAGGAGGAGAGAAGCTGGTGGAGAAGGAGGACTCCACCAGCTTCTCCCAGGAAGGGGAGAAGGAGGGGGAGAAGGGAGCTGGTGGAGAAGGAGGAGAGGGAAAATAATGTAGCCTCAACAACTGGTATTGCAATAGCAGAAATGCTCAAAGATGTTCTCATCAGGATGCAACTGCCGATTGAACATGTTAGAGCACAGACATATGATGGGGCTAGCAATATGTCTGGTGCGTACCATGGTTGTCAGGCAGAAGAGATAAAGAAGATCCAAACTCTCGCCCATTATGTGCACTGTGGAGCACACATAACCCACCTGATTACCTCGAAGGCTGTGCAAAGTGCACCCTATATTCGTAATGCTATAGACTGTGTTCATGAACTTGGTAAACTGTACAATGCATCAGGGAAACTGAAGCACCTGTACCTATAAACTTTCATTCTGATGACATCGACATTCCCACCCCCACATCAATAAAGCCAATCTGCCCAACCCGTTGGCTAACTAGAGCTGATGCTGTCAAGTCTGTCATCGAGAACTATGGAACCATTTTAGGTACGCTGGAGAAAGCAGCTCATAACTTCAGAACAGCCACTGGATCACGTGCAAGCGGAATTTGTAACACTTTGTCATCGGCAAAATGTTTGCTTGGCTTGTATGCTTCGATGCCATTACTCCAGTGCCTTGAGAGTTAACAGAGCACTCCAAGGCTTTTCTGTTACAGTTTCTGGCATGCTTGCAGCAGCAAAGGTTGTTAAGATAGAACTGGAAGCTCTTCGTTGTGATGAAAGATTCCACGAAATCTTCACAAATGTTGAAGTAGAGTTAGAGAAATTCGATGTTGATGGATTTGCAATTCCAAGACCGAGAAAAGTTCCCCGAAGATTGAATGATGGTCCCCTTGCACATGAACACCGATCAGCTGAGGACTACTTCCGGTCCGAATTCGTCAAGATGATCGATAGTGCTCTTCTTCATTTACATGATTACTTCTGCTCAACGGATCTGAAGGCATACGACGCCATGGGATCAATGCTACTTACTGGATGTTACGACCCGGTTGTCGTAGCCAAATACCCGGAGCTTTCTACGTCCATCAAAGAAGAGCTTTCTTTTTTTAGAAAGCAACACCCAGCTATCACAACTGTGAAGGACTTTCAGCTGGTATTTCAGGCAATGGTTCCAGAGGTTAGGCAAATGTTTCCCAATGTCGAGAGACTTTTGCGACTTGCCCTAATTTCTCCTGCTAGCTCATGTTCAGCAGAGAGATCGTTCAGTACACTCAGGAGGATGAAAACATGGCTCTGCAGTACTATGCTACAATCTCGACTCAACCACTTGATCATATGCCACGTACACAAGGACCTGTTGTCCCAGCTTGACCCACAAACGATTGCAGACACGTTTGTGCAAAACTGTCCCGAAAGAAGACGAAACGTCTTTGGTAGTTTTAAGGACGGTCATTAGCAGAAGTACTAGTGTCCCCCGTGCCCCCCCCCACTTCACAAGCCAAATCGACGCCCCTTGGTGGCCGCAACTGGATGTTCACATACTGTACACACACACGCACCCGCACACACGCGAGCGTGCGCGTTCCTGATAACACCCTCCTGATACGAGCTATTACTGCTATTACCAGTAAAAGAACAATGACAACAAAACAGATGGTTCAGCTGATTTACAGATATACATATTTTGACAACAGCACAATACTATTCTGCAATGTCAAACATCATGTCGGGCTGGATTGCCCAGTTACCTATATCCCAAAACCATAAATATAATCAGCCTAACTTGATAATAACTTAAAAGACACTCAAGTCAGTAGAGACACCTAAATTCTCTAGACTACTGCATACTGCAGGTTCATAAAGAAACCTCGCCAATTTAATGCTACAAACGCAATTTAGAATATAATCGTACAATTCTTGTTATATATATAGACAGTACAAATGTACAATGTAGATTTACCGATTGTATCCTGCTTCGTCTAACAATAAAAATGTGTAGATAGTATACTGTGCTTCCCCTAACAATAGACATTCACAGAAAGTGTTCAGCATGGGTAGCCACCCGATTCTTATATTGACCCTGACAAGGAACAGCCCCACACACTTTAGCTGTGTTTCCTAAACGCAAAAATCTGGCCTAACTTCAAGATGGCGTCGATGGTTGACTCATAGATGACAGTACAGCCTGGCATCTCCTGAGGAACTGAAACGACAGATAAACGTACTGTATATGCCATAATTTTCGTGTACAGATATTTCGCGAATTCAGACTTGACAGACAATTTCGCGAGTGGTTAATTTCGCGGTCAGTGAATTATGAATTATTCGGTATTATTCGGTATGAATTATACGCGTGTTGTTATTTTCGCGGTTGGGGACGCGTTCGCGAAATTCACGAAAATTAAACCACCGCGAAATATACAGCGTATACAGTAATTTAACGAACTGAGTCTGCAGGACTAGTTCAACGCGAGACGAAGTAACCGCGAAACTTTGTCGGTGATTCGTCTTGCAACATGAAGCATGCAAATCTGATTCAGCTTATTTATCACGAACTCATATTCCCTTCTGTATGAGAATCATAGGTTAGCTACGTGCTGCACAGTGAGAATGAAACAACATTTCCACGTTGAGGTAGAATAACACCCACAGTTGTTGCTGTGCGCTGCAGCAATGAGTAATGTTACCATTAAAGGTGCTGCTTTCAGCACGTGACTCTTCACCTTACGATATCGTCTGTCTATTGTTTCCCCATAAAATTAGACTGTCTACTTACTAAATATGATGGATGTCTTAGAGAATGCAGTGGGTTCAGGCATTGTCGGTAGAAACGACTTCTCGAGGCATCCGGCCTCCTCAAGCAACTGAGGAAGAAGTTAGAAGGTAATCATGGTTGATGAATGCTGTTACTGTGTATAATTGTATGAATGCTATAGCTGTTGAACTCATGCCAACTCTAGAACAGAAGATGCAGAGCAGTCGAATGCAGGCATTGCCAATCATGGATGTATAAATTATATTCTGCACGATCCACAAAGTTAACGAGCAGCTGATAAACACTGCACACATTGTTATAATATTGAGTTGTAGTGTTGAAGATGAATTCACCACAAGCTTACGGGGTGCAGGATAGATGATGCATCAGCCAATACTAGCTTATGGGGTGCAGGATAGAGGATGCATTAGCCAACACCAGCTTATGGGGTGCAGGATAGTGGATGTATTAGCCAACACCAGCTTACAAGGTGCAGGATAGATGACACATTAGCCAACACCAGCTTACAGGGTGCAGGATAGAGGATGCATTAGCCAACACCAGCTTACGGGGTGCAGGATAGAGGATGCATTAGCCAACGCCAGCTTACGGGGTGCAGGATAGTGGATGTATTAGCCAACACCAGCTTACAAGGTGCAGGATAGATGACACATTAGCCAACACCAGCTTACAATGTGCAGGATAGATGACACATTAGCCAACACCAGCTTACAATGTGCAGGATAGATGACACATTAGCCAACACCAGCTTACGCAGGGTTCGACACTAATGCTAGTCCGTTAGTCAGACTAGTAAAACAAAGTGCGCGCCGTAGCGACCAGCCGCTCATCTCACGTCTTACAATGGCGAGCTGGACACTGGTGTGGAAGTGGTGGATTTATAGCTAAACCAGCTTAGTCCCAAAGTCGTGTTCGCATACTGCCGAAACAGTGGAAAGCAACCAGGGATGCGTACTCAGGACCTTCTCAGACAGGAATGTTCGTTGGCAAATCGTTTTGAAAGTTGCCACCGATGATGGCGTGCTACATTATAGTGCTCATTAAAATTTAAGGATGAAGCTCCCATCCGCTACCGTAGTAGCAACAACTATTTGCCAAGACAGAATAGGGTAAGCGACTCACTCCATTTACTCTACGCAAGCTTAGCAGGTTGGAGAATAGAGAGCTGCCCACCTGTAACTAATTTAACGCCTAGGAAAAATACACAGTACTATTCGCCACCCATGCACTGGCCCCAGTGGCATAAGCTTTACAGGTAACACACTGACAGCTACAGGAATGCATAGAAATCTAACGATGTTAAGAGCATTAAACCTTCTTCACACCAGTTTAGCCTTTTGAAATTTCACTGCTTGAACATTGTAGCCCTCATACATCCAGGCATGTTAGATTCTACTAGCGCAGAAACCCGGCAGTCAAATTCTTTCTAACAGTATAAGCACAAATCCATTGTTCTAACGCCTCCTCCTGACGTGGCGTCACACAGGGTATCCGATCACTTACTCTTCGCCACTGCTCCAGCGCGAAAGCTACATTTCCATTGATCCTTTCAATTAAGCCATAAAAAATGCGCTTAGACGTCACCCGAAACAAAAAAGTTTTTCAATCGCATGCCGCTCGCAGCACCATGTTCTCTCAGAAAATGTCTAAAATCTGCCCCCATTGTGCCCCATTGACTGTTGACCGTGTGGACCTACCAATTTCGGGCACAGATGCATTGGCTTTTCCTACCATTGATGCTATACACCGACTATCACGAGCTAGGTCGAAGCCATTTAGATTTGTGCCGCCAATGTAATTGCATTTCCTGTCCGCTTATACTACGGGTTCTACTATCCCAAGGGAACGGTGTGTCCCCCTTCTTTTACACCTCTTGACCTTTAGACCCCCCAGCTTCGACATCCGAACCTCGCTTGTTCGCGAAATTACCCCCCCCCCCACGTCCCGATATTCGTGACCGTTACGTCGAGCGGGTTAATGATTTGCTGCCCAACTGTTCACGGCACGGACGGCACGGACGCAGCGGACAAATCATGCCGATTCATACAAGCTGCACCTGACTACGTCCAGATGACGCTAAAAATTAAGGAATTAGTAAATGCGCCCACTTAGCGCGTTAGTCCTGCCGACTAGTTATTTTTCCCCGGTCCGCTCACCGTCCCAACTTTTACCATTCCTCATCCGATTTTACTATAGATCCCGCGGCGACAGCTTCTCCTCAACCACACGATCCAAAGAGCTGATATTACTAACTCATCTCGCATCAACAAAGTTTTCCCTGTTAGCACACTCTCAGTACAAGTAGACGCTAGTCACGCTCGCTCGCCGCTAGACCCTATGACAGTACAAACATGTGACCCTATGACAGTACAACAATGGGGCCACGAACCAGTCTACCGATCGATCGCTTGACAGTAGCTGTTGACATAGAACAAACGGTCTGATTGTATAAATGACACAACTAATCAGTTATACGCTCTCATGACTCATGGCGAGGTATTTACATCGCAACCACATCGCATGCGTGTTTTACTGGAAGCAGTCGATACAAATAGTTATCTATAGTAGTGATAGAAGTAGAGAAGAATAGTAGTAGGTACATCCTTATCCAATACTAACATCAAGGTTGTTATGCGGAAGTATTTGGACGGAGCTCGTCCTCCACCTCCCAAACGTAAGTCGCAGGAGGAGAAATTAGATGGCCAGCGTGTATATGATAAGACCAAAAGGATGCGTACGTTCTAGCCAGCGTGGAAATCGTCATACCCGTGGCTAGAGTATGACCCGGCTAAGGGTATGGCCTGTGGTGCAGGCTGTACGTCTGGTAGCTTTTTCACCGGCACTACAAACTATCATTTGGAAACTGTTAAAGCGCATGATGCTTCCGAGGGGCACATAAAGATCATAGCAAAAAGAAATGCAAGGACCATGTCTGTTCACGAAACAGTGGGGGCAAAAACACTAACTTTAATGAACAAGGCCATAATAGCAAAACTGAATATCCTAATTAGAAATGCACATGCTATTGAAAAAAACAGCAGGCCCTACACCGATTATGTCAAGCTGTGCCAGCTTGACAAGGCCAAGGGGTTAGATGTCGGCAGCACTTACCTCACCGACAAGGCCTGCCAGATGTTCATTACGGCGATAGCCGATACAAGGCGCCGGGAACAACATTTTTTTTCTTATGATCCATATCAAAGTTACGTATATTTTGTACAATTGAATGTCTTTTACAAAACCTTTTTGGGGGAAACCCCTTGTACCCTGGGGAAGACCCCCTGTACCCCCTAGCAGAAGGGGGGCTCCATCCTCCTACCCCCCGGCAAATCACAATGCTCGTCACTTTGTACCTACAGTAAGAGTCCTTCGGCAGGACTATTTGAATCTTTGAAGGACTAGTACATTTTTTCTTTTACTAGTCCTGTGGACCAATGAATTAAAATGGTTAGTATCTAACCCTGCTTACGGGGTGCAGGATAGAGGATGCATTAGCCAATGCCGGCTTACAGGGTGCAGGATCGTGGATGTATTAGCCAATGCCAGCTTAGGGGGGGGGGGGGGGGGGGGGATAGATGACGCATTAGCCAACACCAGTTTATGGCTTGCAGCATAGACAATGCACCAGCTACCATCAGCTTGCAGGGTGTAGTATAGAGGATGCAGTACCATCAGCAGGGTGACCTCCACGTGACCTACCTCAATGATCTCAGCCACGCAAGCTGCTTGCAGCGCAGGGTTGAACTTCTTGCAGACCGCCTCGTGCGTGACCGCCGGGAAGGTCATGATGTGCAGCAGCACTGCCTCGCACATTGAGCGCAGCACCAGTCGGTTCAGCGAGCCGTCGACCTTCCTCCAAGGTCGCGGGAGCAGATTCACGGATTCCCAGTCCCTGCAACACACGAGGATCGCTTCATCAGCATCAAACACGATAGATATGCGTAGAGTGATGAAGGTATTTAACGATAAAAACTAGTCCAACCTGTATAATTATAATATATACACGTAAAGATATATATATATCATGTTAAACAATCGCCCCTGACCCAATTTAACTGAGACACCAATGTCATCATTGACACCGAAGGACAGCATACGTAAGTAAGTAAGTATAACTGGTCCAACCTGCATATAACACACATTAATGGGAAATGCTTGTTTAAGCTATGCCTCATCTTCTGGTCTGGGACAACACTGATATTCTTAGTCCACAAAATTCCATGTTTCTTTCGCAACCAGGCAATAATGGTATAATATTACGGGAACTGCATTATAGTGTGTGTGTGAATATGTTGAAGCGACTTACTTGTCTTCTTCCTGCCAACATGCTCGCTGCCTCTGCCCCCGATGATCCCTGCCCGGCTCAGCAATCGCCGCATCGGTTCCAACGCGTGAGCGACTTTCACGAATGCTGCTTGGCTGCGCAGAATTATCCAGTGTTTCGCTCGCATCGTTGCTGTCTGCTGGTGGTGTGCGGGACGGAGCTGCCACGCCACCTTCCCCGCCGGAGGAGGGCACGGCCGTGGGTTTCTCTGGAGAAAGGTTCTCACCGACTTCCTCTCTTGTATTTGTCCCCACCTCGCCTGACGGCTTTCCCTTGTAGCTAACTGGTGCCGGTATCTTCGCAGCAGTGCCTCGTGTTGTATTGGACCACGAGACATTTTGATCCGGACCCTCCTCCATGCCTCCAATCAAGATGACTATCTCGTCATCGTCCTTCTGCCGTTTAGTAGTTGTTTCCCTAGATTGAAGGACCTCGCTGTGCGCCCTCGTGACTTTGGTAGTGTTTCTAGATGGGATTTCACGACCAGCCCTCTCTGGTTCGCCCCTGGTTACTTGTCTCAATTTACCACCGTTCTGTTCCATCTCTACGCAATCTTTCGTATCTACATTGCGAGTTGTCTCCATGCCTCGTGTTGTCCTTCTGGTTGAGACAGTGGTGTCATCACCATCTGACTTGCCTCTAGTAGAGTGTTTCTTCGCGCTTCTCGTTACGCTTTTAGGTGACGTGCCGGGGTCGATGGGTTCTGCTTTGCACGCGCTTGTCTTTGGAGTCGAGTCGCGCCGGCCACCACTGCCACGCTTACCTCTGGCTGACCTTCTAGATGAGATGGCACAGTCCTGGCCTTCTGGGTCGCCTACCGCAGTGGAGTCCACAAAATCGCGTCTACTGCGATCCACCGCCTGCGAGTTCATCGCGGACCCACGTTCACTCTTCCTCCTCATCTTCTGCGGCTTACTTGACTCCTTAATGATGGACTCTCCCTCGGTGACATCAGCCTTCTCCTGCCGTACGGAGGCCTTCTTGCTGCTGTTCGACTTGTCGCCGCAGTCGCTCGTCCCTCTCGGTGGCGCCACCTTGTCACGCAATGATCCCGTCGCCCCGCGCTCTCGGCTGTCGCTCGACATAGAGAACATGCCTCGCTTGGGGCTCGGCTCACCACCTCGCCTCTCCTTGCTGCCTCGCAGACTGCGTCTACGCTTGGCCGCCGAGTCGTCGACCCGCCTCCGGCCTAAATGAGCGTGCTCACCAGATGGCGCCAGGTGGGGTCGTTCGCACGTCCTCATGCGTGTGTTGTGGACAGCTGCAGTGACGCGCCTCCCCCGCGTGCGCTCATGCCCTCTATCGCACTGACCGGCGGTCTCGGGCGGGGTGTCAGATTTTGCGTCGCCTTCGTTTCCGGGACGCGCGCTCACGTTGTTCTCAGGATGTGCACTCCCATTGTTCTGAGGATGGTTGCTCCCACTGTTCTCAGGATGCACGCTCCCATCGTTCCTGGAACGCGTGCTCCCATTGTTCTCGAGTTGCGTGCTCCCGTTGTTCTCCTGGTGAGTTCTGGCATCGTTCTTTCGCGTAGACGCTCGGCTGTCGGCAGCGAGCAAACGTGCTTTAGAGTTGCCGTCCCCAGCATCGGACTCCTTGTCGTTGACATTCGCCTGTATATCCGTGCGTGTGCGCACGACAGCTCGCTCTTTGGTATCGCCGCATTGCCTCGCTTCATCACAAGCGTCCGTGCGATCCGCGGTGGCTTCGACCGTCTCAGCGACGCCGGCTGCGATGGGCGGCGGTGGCGGCACGGCGTTCAGCCCATCATGTCCGTCAACGACGCGGTCGGTCGCCGTGGCAACGCGCCAGGTGGGTCGAACGCCCTCACCATCGCTGTGACGACGAGCGATCGCAACGACGTCGTCGTTCGCGCAGCTTTCGACTTCCCTCCTGTATCGCCTCGAGGCGAGTCGACGCTGGCGCGTGGAGTTGATGATCCAGGGCTTAGCGCAGACGAATGCGACATAGCGCAGCGCCGTCACGCCAACCGTCAGCACCTGTGAGGGGAGCATACGACGCAAGCGAATGTTAGCACACTTACGTCTGCGATGATCGAAGATGTGAGTTATTAGTAGTGATGTCACGATCATCGATTATACTCGATCATCGGTTGAACAGTGGCTCGAACCAAGCGCTTAGTGATGTCACGATCATCGATTATACTCGATCATCGGTTGAACAGTGGCTCGAACCAAGCACTTGGTTATCAAAATCCATAATCGATTTCATCAGAAAATTTTTATTAATTTTTCTTCTTTTTTTAACTTGAACAAGAAAACTTGGAAAAGTGATGAGAATCAGAGATATCATCGCTACTATACAAGTTATCCTTTATTAACATACACGTATTATACACATAGTAGTAAACAGTGCAAAACAAACAGTAAACAGGGCTAAACAAGCACATACATGCACACACGTACATGCGCACGACGTTACGCACACGCAGGCATTCAACACCCCGAGTAACCGATTGTAACCGATCATCGGTTACTTGGGTCCAACCGATGATCGATTACGAAATTACAACCGATTGACAACACTAGTTATTAGTAAGTGTCATTGCTTGACAGCGCTCGTTTAATGACTGATGCAACCTCACAGACACTGCCACCGCCACCGCTACTGCCACCGCCACCGCTACTGCCACCGCCCCAGCCACTACCACCGCCACCGCTACTGCCACCGCCCCAGCCATCCGCTACTGCCACCGCCCCAGCCACTACCACCGCCACCGCTACTGCCACCGCCCCAGCCAACACCGCCACCGCTACTGCCACCGCCGGCCCCGCTGCCACTGACAACGTCATTACTACAAGAACGACGAATACAGATGTTCCTGCTACTGTTGTGGGCATTAGCTGGAAAGAATGACAACAGACGCGGCATTGCCCAATGTAATTTATATGAGGGTTAGCTGCTAGCTGTGTAGTGCGTGTATGTTAACATTCTAGACACAGAGAGTCAGTTCTACTCATATATGCGAATAAGCAGGGGAGTGAGACAGACCTGAAGGTTCTTGGTAAGCAAGGCTAGCAATCGCCGCAGCATTCCACTGCAGTGCCAGTCCATGTACTCTGTATAGAGGTCCTCTGCTCTCACTCCCAGCTCCCGACATCCTACTATGCTCTCATAAACCTTCCTGAGCTTCGCATTATCCTCCTCATCCTGCAAACGCAGAAAGAGAAAACTGCAGCTTTCGTTTGTAACAGGCAGTCGGTGGCATTGCACTAGACTACATTCAAACCATTATTTAATATATGAGTGATTTGTGATTTGTGAAATTTAATGACCATGCGATACACGCTCATAACTTTACCAACATAATAATTAAAGTCACTGAACTTTATCAAAAAAGTTACGTCAACAAACCAGAGTGCCGAATATTACTATTAATCTTTACCACACACACATATATGTACATCAATCATCAGAATCAGAGCGTATAGTTGATCACTGTAACTTGTTATGATCATTACCTCGACATCAGCCAGGAAGACAGAGAACTGCTTGACATGTTGCGAGAGTACTTGCACCTGCGCCTGAATGATCCGATTGATTGTCTTCACCTCCAGCAACCCGTCCACCTGCTCTGTGCTGCCATCTACATCCTCGTCCGGTCTAGAAGCGTCGCCGTCACGGTTTTCGTGTCGGTCACCCGTGTCGGCCATCTGCGCGGGACGACCATCCTCACCGCCGGTCCCCGCATCACTGTTACTCACTGCTACCGAGGCGGCACACGCCGCCGGTTCCCCCGTCGTGGCGTCGGCGCGGCGGCGGGCGCACAGTGACACGCGTATCTTCGCTGGGTTGACGACGATGTGGTCGTACAGTGAGCCAGACAGGTGCTTCTCGGAGCCGGCCTCGAGGCACTGACCGCGGATGACCATCAGTGCGAAGCGCGAGGCGTTCTGCTGCAGCATTGACGGCTCGAACCCCACCGTGCTGTGCTTCCCGCCGCCGCCGTCGCCGGTGCTGCCCTCTGCCGGTGGCTTGGGTTTCAGAGGTACGTATCTCCTGACAGCGGTGCTGACTTCAGAGACGGAGGTAGTGACATCAGTGCAGAGATCGGAGGGCTGCATGCTGGCGTCAGCACAGACGGACGCCAGCACGGTGAATGTCACTGCGGGAGCTTGTTGAATGGATGGGGTGTTGAATGCACTGTCCGCAGTCAGGGTCGACGTGCATGGTTCCGGAGGCAATTGTTCAACCTTAGACTCGACTGGCAGGTTGCTTGTGCTGGGGACGGGCGTCATGACAGATGGCAGCACCAGACATGGTCGTGTGACCGCTGTGAAAAAAACAAAGGGAGATGAGGAACAGGAATTTTAACGAACGCAAGTTTCCCCAGATGCAGCTGATATGAGGTATATTTGAATAGAATCCAATATGATGGTGTGCGAGTTAGCCAATCAGCACTTGCTGATAATTAGGAACCATCCTGCGATAACAACAGGTCACTCAACCAGTCTGTGGTTCTTTTGGTAATTTGATAACGAACGAATTCTATGCCTATAACGTCGCGAGATTCTAAATACGTCGTTACTACGGTAGCGAGGTCGTACCCTGCGGTTCACGAGGAAAGGGTATAGGCTCCGGTGTAGGAGGCGCTGCTTCTGGCACCAGGCAGAGAAGATCCTCATCTTCATCTTCAGTGTCTTTGCCCGGCGACTCATTGAACATCTTGCCCCTGGCTGGGATATCTGTCTTCAATCGCGTCAAGTCAACCAGGATGATCTGGTCTGGGATGATTGTGTCAAAGGTCAACTGAAAACACCATTTATTCTTTTGCATAATGTCGTTTTAATGGGAAATTTCTAAACTAACAGAGTTTTAAAGCTGACAATAATCAAAACCCAATATAAAATGAAAAATGCAATGCATTTATACTAACATAGCATGCTAACGGTTGTGATGATAACCCAGAGCCAAATATGAAATGGAAATGTACACTATTGCGTGCCCGTAACTACCCTCCTAATGCCTCGCCACGACAAGGTGCTTGTTTGGTTGCATACCTTGTTCTGCGCGAGCAGGGACACTATGGCTGCAGCGTGGCCTCCCTTCTGCACGTTGCTGAAGGACACGCCCTCACCTGTACCCTGCTGCTGAGCCACCTCCAGCTCCCTGTATGCCCTGTACGCCTCCTCGCAGATGGAAGCAGGGTAAGACGGGATGAACATGTAGCGATACCTGATCAACGAAGGACACACGTCAGTTTCCCTGCTATCCGGTCTTACTTTACTTCACTCTTTGTTGTTGAGCTTTAAGATTTTATTTTCCTCTTACTACTTTTACTACAGGAACAACATTAAATTATTACAATTTGAAAATGTGACATGATTACAATACAACACTGCAGAGAAATGAACCGCTGCATGCGTAAGTAGAATGTGCGAGTAACTGAACATATAATCAATAACGCTGTAACAGACACTTACGCGAGTGAGAGCTGGTACGCTGTGCCAACAAATGGTAGGAATCTCTGAGCCTGTCGCCTGCGCTGCAGTGTCGACTGCAACAAAACCAAAACATGGAAGAAACAATGCATTCAGAACAATGGGCATACCCACAGATGACACTCAGACGAGGTATTAGAAACAAACTATATTACTTAAATAAACGCAGAGGCAGTGAATAAATGTAAGCCTTAAAATGAAATGTAACAAAATAACACTGGAGCAAATGAAGAAGATGACTAAATATTGATCTTATCAAACGAGCCATCAAACAAACACAAGTTTAAGTTAGTGCGTTTATGCAAGCATCGATCCATGACCAGTCAATTACCAATAAGCCATCAATGAAAGATCAATGATCAATCAATGATCAATAAATGATCAATCAATGGACGATTAATGATTAATCAATGCTCAACCAATGAATGATCAATGTTCAATCAAAGATCAATTAATGATCTAGCTATGATCAATCGATGATCTACTGATGATCTATCGATGAGCCAGATACCTTGTTCTTGCTGACGAGTCCATCGTTTCTCATCTGACACAGTACGTTACGCACCATGTCGTCTGGGTACTGCTGGTAGAGTTTGAACAGCTGGATCGAGCAGCTTCCACACTTATCACTCTTCTCCTTGTTTGCCAGAGATGACTGCAGAGGCAAGCCAACACAGTCATCTTCAGTTAGAGAGGGGGGGGGTAGGGCCGAAATTAATCTGAACCAGGATGACTGTTTTAATGCTGGACTCACTGATTTTTACATCAGCAGAAGCCTGCACAGCTCCCTAAAAGTTCTGATATTATAGATGAAGCCAAACATCTAAAAACATTTAATACGATACTATTGTCAGTGTTTTAAGGTCATATTGTGTGGTAATGTCAGTTGGAAACACGAAGGTTTGGCAGTCCGGCAGTTACTTGGAGATTATCTCATTTTACTACAGAACACCGATTTTTATTACAAATATTGTCGTAAGTATGTGTATGATGTCGTGCAGCACACTAACAGTGATGTCATCATAACCTGAATGTCAGCATAATATATACGTGTATGATGTCATCACAACCTGTGTGTCAGCATACGTACGTGTATGATGTTATCATAACCTGAGCGTCCAGGGTACGTACATGTATGATGTCATCATAACCTGTGTGTCAGCATACGTACGTGTATGATGTCATCATAACCTGAG